GATTAGTATTTTTTGCCGAAATCCCAAATCCCAAATCCCAAATACTAGTAATTTGGGATTTGGGCAACACGTATACTCTCAACTCCTAAGAATAATATCCCTAATATTTCTCAGATTTCTACATCACCGAATAAGAATGTTTCCATATCCGAAGCAGAGAAATTACCACTTAATCATAATAAAGATCTAAATATTCAAGATACAAACCTTTCTTCTTCTGAATCTAAATCGTCTATTATCTCTTCTTCCAATTGGGAACAAAGTGCCATTTCTTCTGAAATAAAAATTTCCTATAATCAAAAAGTAGAACAAGGTTTAATATGCGAGTTATTTGAATTTATTAGGAGCATTGATTTTGTATCTTTACAAGATCCGAATAAAACTCCTCCGAATTGTATATATAGCAAACAATTTTCAGACATTCTTGTTGGTATTGATCTAACACCAGGTTCTATATCTCATTTGGCTCAATTATTTGACAAGACCGAAAAAACTGGTCAGAAAGAAAAATTGCGTTGGTATTATTATAGTGAGGAATACGAAAAAAAAGTTATAACTATTAGTTCAGAAAACAATATTAGTGATCAAATGGCAAGAACACAAATTTATGATGAAATGATGTTATATCTACCTGGTATTAAAAGAGAGTATTTGCGCAAGATGACTCAAAAGGCCAAAAATATCTATACATTGTTTAAAGGGATAGGAATAGATAAAATCAGGTTAGTTACATATAGTGCTGATGCTATTTCTAAACTAACAGACAGCCAAATCTAAAATATAATAAAACTTTATACTGATGAATTAAATTCGAAAGTATCCTCACTCTGTAAGACCAAATCTCAAAAATTGATTGGTGTGAACAATTGCGAACACGCACATGATCTAATGGAAATTGTTGAATCTCAAATTTCTAACTCAAAAACAAAGATTTTATCGTGAGCCAAGGTAAGTATATTATTTACCTCGAAACTCATTACCAAGAAGACCCTACCTAAAAAACAAAATAATTCAACTTATACCCATGCTTATTTTCATAACAAATTATTGGAGCAGTATTCCAATTTATATGAAGAATGTAGTAGCGAAAATGTTGATTATTATGGAATTAATATTGAATCATTATGCCCAATATGCAAGTTAAGTCACGAGGACAAAGAAGGTATAAAGGGCGAATATAAAGATGAATCTTACTATATTAAATATGAAGCATCTGATCAGTACTGTTATGACAGTTCGCGCCAAAATAATTGTATAAATCATCACCTTCCCAGTTCTGATATGAAGCTGGATGTATGTATTTAGATGTGGTCACATCCTCACTTCGTGAGACAGGAAATTATATATACATATTTTTTTAACTTGAAAGGATAATGGACGATATCTAATATAGAAATTTAAACGAATGTGATCTTATAAAATAACAATATGAATGTGTTAAACTCGCAGACCAAGCCCAATGAAATCTCTACAAATCAGAACACTCTAACCCCTGAATATTTGAATTGACAAGGTAAATTAATTGACGTTTTGACCGATAAAATTCACTCCAAGTTATATAAAAGATATAAAAATGAAACTGAGCTCGATCCCTGGATAATGTCTGAAACTCCCGAACTCCCACAAATCGAAGAGGACTGTATCATCAAGATTTTTAAGTTTCCAGAAGAAAAAAGTGTAATCCATGATGTGGTACATAAATGCTTCCCTTTCTTGACATATACCAATTCTAATGCATGGCATCAAGATGTATTTAAATATACGGATCCAGAAGCTAAATGTTCAATATGCAAAGAAGTACATACACATTTAGGAATATGGGACAACTGGAGCTGTCTAGGTAAAAATGATCACTATTTTCTTAATTGCCCTTTTCGTATCGATCAAAAAAAAGTTATAATCGCTATACAGAGCTTACCAGAAATTTAAGTAAGTGTACCAAATAAAATTCAAGAGGTAAAGCCTAAGAAGTTTTTGTCTATTACAGAGGCTAAGAAAAAAAGATGGACCATGGAATGCTTCCGTGCTGATTTGAAAAGAGATATATGCCTTTATCGTGGAGGGATAGAAAGGAATGAAGATACCAGAAAATACCATAAATTTTTAACAGATCGAGATAGGCTAGTCGGTGAAGAATTATTACGTTGCGATATACTAAAGAGTGGTTTAAGTACTGCATGGCTTGATGATCTTATGGAAGAATGGAAAAAAATCCATACTCAATTCACCCAAATTTTTAACTAGATGAAACCTGAGGATTCAACTGAGGTGAATATAAAAGCATAAATCGGAGTAAAAGGCTCGGCGCTCTGCTATCATTGAGTTTATAGCTAATTCGTTAAACCTAATTTTTGGTTATTAAATGGATATTTTTTTTGCCAATCATTTACTTCTTCTTTCTTTTTCTATACCATACAAAATAATGCTAAATCAGGTTAATAATCATTATTTTTTCATTTAAGATCGAAATAAGATAAGCAAATCCAAGATGTGTGAAGATGTTCCTATATTTAGATCCATACTTTTAGACCATAAATAAGCACGATGAAGGTACGATGAAGATACGATGTAGATGTGACAAATTTTTTTCTTATATAATTCTATGAAAAATAATACATCGTAAGCGTATCTCAGTTGAATACCATTACCACACTAAATATTTTTTTTTGCGATGTGAACTGACGATCAATTGTGCTTACTAATTGATGAAAGAAGAAACTAAAATGCTGAGTACTACGATATTCCTGGAAGTAGTAGAGTGAATTTTTGGAATACTATCGCAAATATAATCAACGAACGATTTGGAGGCACTTATACAGGACAACAATGTAGTAATAGATTTAAAAATCTTATAAGAGATCATACCGTAAGTGTTTATTTCATATTCGTATATCAAGGAAATACATTTTTCTGACGTTAGCCTATTTTTGATTGATAATATATAATTTTACCAGTTAACAGAACAGTATATAGCAGGAAGTAGAACTGGAAAGAGGAGTAGAACTGGTGAGCAATATTTTGAAGAATTCCGTTCTCATTTTTGGGAAAGACCTGGTAAGTGAATTATAATCGTTAATAGTGGATATACTCTGTTAATATGGAAAGTAAATCCTAAATATTTTGTTTGAATGCGAAAAAATGTAGAAACCCCATTCGACATATTGCATAATGAAAACTCATCCGTGAGAAGATGTTATCGTAATCGTACACCACCACCAACTTATAGAGGAGTGACACCGATGTCAAGTCATCGTAAATTCACCACCAACCAAAGGAATCGATTCGCATCGCCCACTCAAAGAATTCATAGTGAAAGGGGTGAGAATAATAATCGAAATAATGTGAGTGGAGATAATGCTACATACTTATCTTCATCTGAGTTGGCAAATATTACCTCAGGCTTTAATATATCTGCATCACAAAATAGCAGTGATTTTAGTATACCTGATGTAGGAGTAAGTAGTTAGCCGCTCTCCTATATAGAACCTATAAATGAGGAAGAAAGATAAATTTTATCAGTGTAATATATAATTAATAGCAGAGCTAGTGCCAAGGCACATAAAGCACTCATTTATTTTTTATATCGGATTTGTAAAATATGAAATGATGTAAACTGAACTATAAACGATGTATTGACCATGTCAGCTCTGCTGATCGTATAGATACTATTTGCCATTGTTTTATATAAGATGCAGATATATTCAGATGCGGGAGCATCCTCATTTCATGAGAAAGTTTGAGAAATATATGAGTAAAAATTACTAGTGCGTGACCAAATGTCACATAATAGGTTAATTATTTTAGCGAAGACATCAAGTTATTAGGCCCTGTAGGCCATTTCTCCAAAATACTTACCATAAACTACATATGTTATTTATTTATTGAAGGACGTGCTGAAGTTTCTGTGCTTTGAATATTAATATTGATGCAAATGGAATACCTTCGAATTGTTGTTTAAGGTGTTCAAAAAGCTTACTATCGAGATTCTCGGGTTTGCTAAGTAGCACATTTTCAAAAATATCTCTAATACTATTCAGTACCCATCAAATATGTATTAATTTTCTACTATCGTAGTTAGTTCCATAATGAAGCAAATACCGATACTCTCTCCTTATAACATCTGATACTTCTTCCAGATAATTAATCAT